TTCCTAACTGCCCTTGCTTCCGTGTCACAACACTACCCCCAGTACGGGGTGGGGGAAGGACATCCCAGATTTCAAATCATTCCAAGTCCGGAGCAAGCGCCACAGCAGTCGTTTCCGACCGTGTTGATCTAGCAAAACTTTCTCCTTCCCCGCCCATCACCTCCGGAGACGAGGCAGGAATGTTCCCCGCGAGGGGTGGGGAACCAAGAACTGAATGGTGGTTTGTCACTTCCAATCCCTGCCTCCCAGAGCCAGTTAAATAAATGCAGAGGCAGAGAAAGCAATATGGAACACACAATTGCAAAAGTTTGAACGAGAGCTATGCCCGTGTGCGCTCTCCCTTCCCCACCTCGCCTTTTTTTGCACGTGGACAAAGTCTCCCCAAACGCCTTTTAAGCGGCAGCAGTGATTCCACAGAAATCAATAATGAAACTTCCTTCGCACCGTTATGAGTGAAAATTCAGCCCTGCCGTCCGCTAAAGCAGCAGGCTACAAAAAGAGAGAGAGAGCCCCAAACACTAACTTGGCTTAGAGACCTCTAGAAAACTCCCAGAAAACTTTTGAAGCCTGAACGGAGAAGGGGGGGGGGCGCAAGCAAGCAAGCAACGCGGTCCATTCTTTTATCCTAGTCGGGAAAACTGACACACGCCCAGATTTAAACAAAAATAGCCAGTTAGGGTAAAGAGAAAGAAAAGTCAACTCACCACTTCTTTGGAGCGTTATAAAAGAGAGGAGGGCCGAGGGAACACCAGGAAAGCAAATAAACCCGCAAAATGGCGTTTTTAAAATGTTCAACTGATTGTTTCACATGTTATCTCTCTATCCTGACATCCAATGAAAAAATACAAGCTCGCAATGCAACACCCCCCCCCTTGCTGTCCCGCTGCTCCGCCTGCGCCTTTAAGAGGAGAGAGTGAGTGCCTGCAAATGCAAACTGCTGCTCTCAATTACTCATCCTGCCCGCGAAAGCAGCGGCGGCGGCGGCAGCAGCAGCAGCCAGCCCAGCACATCATTAAAGCAAAGAAATGCCAGTTGTATGTAGACAACAGCGAGAACTCCGCCCCTTGTAGGAAGCAAAGAACTTCGGGATTTGTAGTACTGATCTGCACTTTTAAAAACTGTTATTTAACCTCTGCCGCTCGGCTGGACTACGTATCCCAGCAGCCCAGTGGAAGTCGGCCGTGTCCCGCCCTTCTCCACCCACCTTGCTTATAGGAAGACGCTGGAATGTAGGTGCAACTAGGCAATGTGTGATTTTTAAAATGGGGATTTTTGATACGTAGGCGCTGTTTCGTAATGTTACAAAGGACAGCTCGTGCAGGAAATGTTTTTAATCAGCAGCGAGTAGTCTAGAGGTGGAAGCAATCATTTTATCAAAAGCGTACTATTTGTTTTTAACTATTTGAAATCTGGAAGTTTGTTCCTCGGATGCAGAGTTTCTCCATCCCCTTTGCTAATTTTAAGGGTTGGAAACACAGTAGAGAAAAAGGAAGGCAGCGGGTCCCCCTACTGGCACCGAGTGAGTAGGGAACAATTACCGTATTTGCAGCCGGAATCGTGCTTACTCGGAAGTTGCCTTGATTTCTGTTAGACGAGGCGGTATCATGCAGTTTGCACAATATGACTTTTTAAAACAAAAAAACCAAAAACCACACCCACACATTAAGAAACAACCTTCTAACAAGACTGCTAATTCGTAGGTTTGCAACGTCTAGGAAGAGGACAAGACACGTGGTGGAATTTTTAAAGAACAGCCACAATTTGGAGGCGGACCTAGCCATTTCTATAAATTCTTCCTCCCCCTCCCCCTCGAAAATGCAACGTTCCCCAGAGATCTATGGAACACAAATTTTTCACTGAGATGGATATAAATATTACAATTAATGCAGCTACATTTGTTTTACATAACTATCACTACTCATTGAATCGACACCATTCAACATTAAAAGTTTCTGTACCCAAGTTCTGAGGGCAAAACACCTCCTGCAGAATATACAACCTGACACATACGCTGTATAACAAAAATACAAGCCACAAAGCTGAACTTGATACATGTCTGCTCAAAAGAAAGTACAGTGGTACCTCAGGTTACATATGCTTCAGGTTACATACGCTTCAGGTTACAGACTCCGCTAACCCAGAAATAGTGCTTCAGGTTAAGAACTTTGCTTCAGGATGAGAACAGAAATCATGCTCCGGCGGCGCAGTGGCAGCAGGAGGCCCCATTAGCTAAAGTGGTGCTTCAGGTTAAGAACAGTTTCAGGTTAAGTATGGACCTCCGGAACGAATTAAGTACTTAACCTGAGGTACCACTGTACATTGCAGCCTTGAAGTACTAAGGCCCTGGGAGTCATTTTTATACCTGCTTTACTAGGTAAACCTGTTTTAAGATTGCACTGATTGTTGATTATTCAAAGTTGATGAGAGGTCTAGAGGAGGGAACATGAGCTTGCGGAATGCTCTCCCCAGGGACCTTCAGCATATCTTTAGGCAAAAACATTCCTCTTCTCCTAAGCCTTTGGCTAATTAAGCAGTCTATGGCCTTTTAAAGGGGGGATTTGTTTGTTACTATGTAGTGCACTTTTGTGTTTTTATATTTTATATTATAAACTGTTCTGTGATTGTAGAGTTGGAAGGGATCCCTGAAGGTCATGTGGTCCAATCCCCTGCAATGCAGGAATCTCAACATGTGGCCCCCTTTCCAAGCTGAAAGCATACTGGACCCTGCTTAGCTTTGCAAATGTGCTAGCAGTTTTATTGCTGCACCACAGAGTGGTATAGAAATTGAATAAATGAACAAAATACTGTAAGCTAAGTACAAGTACAAATCTGTGGAATTTCACTCCACATTTTGTGGCTACTTGAGCATGCTTGACATACATACGCGTCCTCTTTAGGCTGTGTGTGTATTAGCAGTAGAGAGATTCTCACACCCTCTTCACAAAAGGATGCTTCATAAAATGGTAATAAATCTGAGCACTGCTTTGAGTTTCTTACCACTTGGAGAATCATGGAACTGTTCGTTTCTGCAGCACAAGAAACCTGGGAGAAATATCCCATGAGGGATGTCTGAGAGGTCAAAGTGTGGTGTGGCTTATGCTGGCTGAACCTTTCTCAGCCACAGGGCTGCACTTCCTTCTGGACAACCTTCTGCAGCCTGCATAATAGCGGTGGTCAGGGCTGGAGGCAAAAGTGAGCAGACCAACAAATGTGAATGTTAGGTTCCTACAATAGGCTACTTTCCGTATTCAGCCCCTCTCTGCCTCTCTATGACAAGAGTGGTTTAACAATCAATTGTTCTTCCCAGAGAGCTTTTGGAATTGAAGCTCTGTGAGGCAAATTGTATCCTAACAACTCCTAGGACCCTTGACAAATTACAATAGCCAGGATCCTTAAGGGGAGGCGATGACTGTTTAAAGAAGTGTTATACTGCTTCAAATATATAGTGCAGATGGAACCTATAGGCAAGCAAAAAGCATTAGGAGAATTCAAGGACACATTCCAGGCCAGTGAGGGATGTGGCTTGGGGAGAATCCTGAACACAGGTTAGACAGGCCAGGAAGGCTGCATTTGACCCCTGGTCCAGAGGCTCTGCATTCCTGTTTTAATGGAAGGTTTCCGTTCTAATGGTGCTGTTGATACTGCTGTTATATGTTGCCTGAACTTTTATTGCTTTATTTACACCGCCTGAACTTTTATATTTTGTTTTATAAAATGTAATGGCATGTTGGCATTCGTCTGCCTCGGGAGACAATGTAGGAGTTCGCCTTGGGGGCGAAGTCAAACTGTTGGAAGGTTGCAGTGCCTGCTGTGGCTGTAGAGACTGATAAGGAAGAGACATGTTTGTTTCAGCTGGGGAAGATGGAGGCAACTTCAAATGCACCATGGCATTTCTTTTCTCTAAGCTCCTTCCAGCTTGCAAGGGCAATTGGGGGGGGGGCGACATTATGCGCACGGTGTTGTGCGTGCAATGGGAGGAGCCGGGGTGGAGCTGAATGCATCAGCAGCATTGTTTCAGTGGCCACTGGCTCCTTCTCCTGCTGCTGCTGCTGCCACTGCCACTGGTGAGGGGCTCCTTTGGCCCTCCTTCCTCTCCACAGGAGAAGGAGAAGGAGGCAGCCACTGAAGCTGTGCCACGCTTGAGGGGCTTACAGTGAAGAAGCCATATGAACCGTCGAAGGTCCAACACACACCATTATGCCATTTTGTGTGAATACTGGATATATGAAAGTTCATAGCTCATGCCAATATTTAAAATAGTAAAGGCGGCTGCAGTCCTCATTTGCATGTGTAAAGCTGCCACCAGAAATTAAACAGCCACAGAACTGCATGTCACCTGCATCTGAATGCTTTTTCAATGCAGTCAATTCACACCTTTGGTTCTGAGCATGAATACCAATTGTTAGGCACCAGTGTGTGTGTGTGTGTGTACACACACATGTAAACTGACCCTTAATCCCTGGCATTCCTTCTTATTATTGATGTTTTGAAAAGCAGGAAAAGAAGTTGTTTACCATTGTGCTTTAAAACAGCAGCAGTTTTCGAAATGAAACAAAACCCAAGGGATAATGTTTAGTATCCTTAATGCATTTTGGAAGTAGAATTAAATGCCTTGAGTTGGTTCCCCAAGATGTCATGTTGCAGAAAGCCCTTTCGGGTGCCAAGGATGGAGCGAAGCCAGTTTTGCTTTGATACCATCTGAACTGTCAGTAACTCCGGTGTAAACGACGCCTGCCCTGCGTCGTGTGGTCCTGATCGGACACTTTAGCCACCAGCTGATCGGGTGTGCAGGTTAGAAGCGATGCGCCATGTGTTTGCTGCCGCTCTGTCAGCTGAGACTCCCGCTTGGATAGGAGAGGGACCGAGACAAGGTGCCCACACGTTCCCCAGAAGTTGTCTCCTTCCTTTCTTGTTTTGCTGCTTTCATTCTGGTCATGAGACCCGGAAGTGTGTGTGTGTGTGTGTGTCTTTCTCGGTGGTGTGTTTTTTTTTTTTTTTTAATCTATCACATGGCAGTGAGAGAGATATATAATAAAAACAGAAAAATGGCGACAGTCACGTTGTGGCGAGTCTATGCTGCGTCATTAGATAATCTTCATGCAAAGATCGCTAAGAACAAAGAAAAAAAGAGAGAGGGGGTAGAAAACGCGGCTGGAAAGGTGGGTGGGCAGAAGGCAGCGGCTTGCGGGGAGCGGGGGGTTGGACGGGATCAGGGAGGGGGCGGGCGGGCGTGTGTGTTTTTCCAGGGCATCGCAGCCAGGCAGCCCAACTCCCGAGCTGCCAGGTCTCCATTCACATTTCAGACTCTCTCGGAAAGCCCAGCTACCGAGGTTGGTGCATGTTTATAGGACGGAGACGGGAGGGGTGTTTCTCGAGGGTGCGGGGTCTGAGGGGAGGAGTAGCGGGTCAGATTCGGGTTCCCTTCCCCCTTGTTTTCCCTTCCTACCCGCGATCGCCCGTGGCTGCACGCCGCTGGAGACGCTGGGTTTTGTTTACAAGCGGGGCTCCCTAACAGCTGGCTAATTATTCTGCTCTAACCATCAGGCACGCCTACCGCAGGCGCACTTTTCGGGTACGGGAGCGAATGTTTTGCTTTGCTTTGGGGTTTCTTCCCCACCCCCGAGGGACGGGGAGGTGGGTAGGGGTGGGGTCCCATCTTCTCCCCGAACCCTTTGACGGAGCGGATGTTTAGAACGAGGCGAATTTTTCTACCCTACGGAGGGGAGACCTCCTCTTGCGCTGCGATTGTGGAGGTGGCGGGGGGGGGCGCATGGCTAGTGAGCCCCCGAGGGCGGGTGCCTGGGTGGCTTTTTAAAAAACGTTGCGCACTCTTATTTTGCTTAAGAATCCTGGCGCTGCTCCCTTCCAGTCAAGCGATTGTAAATATAGCCTAGATGTTGTTTACATGAAACATCCAGAGGGAGGAGCCTCGGAAGCAGAAGGAAGAGGAAGACGGAGGAGGCTCCCCGGCTGGCTGGGGTGAGTATCCCGAAAGGAGGAGCTACAGCTGGGGCTGGAGGCTGTTGTCAAGCAGCCTTGGCACCGCGCGCTTTTGAGGGTCGCTCCTCGGACAAGTGCTGCTACTCGGATACCCCAAAGCTTCTTCCCTGTTGGAGATTCCGGGCTGGCAAAGGGCAGGCGAGCCGGTTGTTCTGGCCTGCTGCTGTTCTCAGTGCTGGGAATGTCTTCTGCCTCAAACCCTGGAGATGCCACTGCCGTTCAGAGTAGACAGGAGGGGGCTAAATGGACCATTGGTGTGATTTGGTCCAAAGCAGCTTCCTGTAGAGTCGTGTTTCTCCAGTATGGGCACTTTTTGGAGTGCATCTTCTTTTATTTTCAGCTGGTAAGGTAGGGAGGGCCAGGGGTGCCTTCCAATATAATAGAGCTGAAGATGCACTGAAAGGGCAGCAGATTGTCAGTGACTCAGTGTAGTGCGCTCTGTTCTGTTTGTTTTACTGCAGAGTTTGGATTTTAAGCCAAAATGTCTTGAGGCTGTGCATGAAATGATCATCTTTTGAATTAAAGAGGGGGGCGTTGTCAGCTCTTAGCTCTCTATTGCCTGTCACTTTAAAAGTGAAGGAAGATGCAGTTCTGTGCCACCTGCCCTATTCCACCACTAGCCCCTGTCACCCACCTTTCTCCTCAGTCTGCTTTAGGGCAAGATCAACTCCTGCTTGTTAAGGCAGCTGGATAGGAAACGCTGAAGGAATGGAAAGGGCAGCCTAGTGGCTGTGGCTATGCTCTTGCTTCAGAGGTTTCAAAAGACCACACATGATCTCTAGCCTGTCAGCTGACAACACTAACTTTGGGGATCTTGTGTTTTTTGACAGAGAGATTTGGGGAGATGGAGCTTAGCCCCACCAGTACCGTGGTGAGGCGAGGTGCACAGTGGGTTGCAAGTTGCATCAGCTAAAATTCCCTCATCTGCACAACTAGGGCCCTGGGTGTTTAAAAGGCTGCCCCTATTATAAGCAGTCATAGCATGCACGCCACATTTATCCTCTCTGAGAGAGAGTAACTTGCCCAAGGCCAACTAGTGGCATCTTGGCTGAGCAGATATCAGGACTTGTATGTCTCTTGTCAGAAGCCAGTAGTGTGTTACTGTCTCACACTGGCCCTGTAAGGCTTGAGTTTATCCAGAAACGGTGGTATGCCAACTGATCCTAGTCATGTATACTCAGAAAGAAGGTCCATTTAGTTCATTGGGGCTGACCCCCAATTAAGCATGCAGGACTGAAGCCTTAACCTCCATCTTGTTTTCAATTCCTGGCAATGCATGTAAGACTAGAGTGCCTCTGGGTATGGCCAGAGTGTCTTTCCATCACACACTGAGTCACTACCAGCCCTCCCGCTCATCCTGAAAATTAACTACTGGGCCAGGTAAAGCCTGGGACAGTCTGACCCTCAGATTCCAGGAATAAGCTCTGAAAATATGGAGTTAGGGAACAAATTTCAAATACATGACATCTAAAAAAAAATCAAGGATATCTGATAGTTCTAGGCATAACAAATCCCTATGAAGCTATTCCCGCAAGATCCAGGGAGCATTTCCTTTCTCTTTCTCCCTCCTGTTTTATTTTTATGTTGCAATTTAGCTGTTTCTGAACACGCTCGTGTCAACTGGCTACTTGCCAGCCGAGCTTCAAGGTCTTCCTGCTCATCCAAATGTACTAATTATTTGTTTCTTATTCTCTCTTGCTCCAGAGGGCAGGCTGAAAATATCAGGGAAGCAGGCCCCAGCTAAAGATTAGAAGTAGTAGGAGATATTTGACACAGAGGAACAGGCTGACCCTGGGAAGCAGCAGGCGCTCATGTTTAAGCAGAGACTGGGCAGCTTATCCTGCCAGGATCCCACCTTGAGCAAGAGGTTGGACTTGAAGTTCCTTCCCTAGGTCCCTTCTGCTTGTGTTACCTGAAACATTTTCATGCTGCCAGACATCTTTTATTTCATTTCTGAACTGTGTGCAATAAATAATTTTAAGAAAAATAAAACTGAATAAAATGCTTTAAAAATTGGCTTCCAGCAGATTAAAACAGCTGGGTAATAAAATACATTGTTGCCTAGTGCCAACATTATTGTAAAGTCGATGCTAGGCAAGCTTCTCTAAGGAAGATGTTCCATAGCTGGGGTGCCACCACTGAAAATGCCCTGTCTCTTGCTGCTGAGTGCTGTCCCTCTGATCAAGGAATTATCAGAAGGAGGGCTTCAGCAGAGCACCCAAAAACAGGAGAAGGAGAAGAGGTGGAGATACTACCAACCCCCAGTCTCACCTGCAGTTGGATCCTAGGTTTTTTTATAGGGGAGATAAGATCATTTAACTCTACTTGGCAAACCCAGGGATTTTCTAGGGCTAAGTTTATATATGAACAAACAGAATGGCCACTCCGTCAGAATGCTTGGATAAACCATTTGCTTCTTGGTGACTGACTGAGGTTATATTTTAACAAAATATAGGGATGTTTGCTCTCTTTGGCCAATAAGTGACAAAGGTCCAGGTCTATGGCCTTGGTTCCATGACTGCAGCATCCGTGAATTTTGATAGGAATATAGGAAGCTGCTGTATTTCTACTGAGTCAGACCATAGGTCCATTTAGCTAAGTATTGCCTACACTGACTGGCAGCAGCTTTCCAGAGTTTCAGACAGAAGTCCTTCCCAGCCGCACCTGGAGATGCCAGGGATTGAACCTAAAACCTTCTGCATACTAAAACAGGTGTTCTGCCACTGATCTACAGCACACCTGAATATGACGAGTCATTCTAGAAATAACAGCTAGCTCTTCTCTTCCCTTTATTTTTGAGTGCTAATAAGGACTTTGGAAGCGATTGACTCTAAACTTCTTTGTGAGCAAAATTTGTCTCCATTTCACTTGATAATGGGAAGAGATGAAGATACTAACCTCACAGTTCTAACCAGGTCTGCTCGGAGGTAACACTACTGAATTCAGTGAGGCTTACTCCCAGGTAAGTGGGATTGCAGCCTTTGTCTTGGGAGACATAGGATCAATGCTGCCATAATGTTAACCGGATCTCTTCCATTGTTCTTATACAAGAGCACAGGTTTGGGAGTGCGTATCTGAGGATTTTTTGGAGAAGGTTGTTTGGTCCATGAGGCTTCCAGGGAAAAGAAAGAAAGACAGGATTACATGCCTGTGAATAATAGCTAATGCATAACTAATAAGGCATTTTGGAGACTTATGTGTTGAATTATTCATTTGTTTGGTGCTCTGACAGCAGAAGTTGCCTTTCAGGGTGAGTGAGAATTCTCTTGTCATATGTAGACTCTCAAATAACAGATGTCTATAAAGAAAGGTGTGGTAGAAGGGAAAGGAGAAGAATGGACCAAAGAAAGGCAGCCAGAAGCCTTTTGATGACTGATGGCACAGCTGAGATTTTGTTTATGTCGTTTGTGTGATTCTTGTGGACCATCAATGTTCAGTTCTTCTTAAGCCACAGACAACAGCCATTTAAGCCTATGGCTGGGGAACCTGCATAGGACTTGCCTACGCCATATAGGTTTTCATTTGGTAGGATGTAACCTGGAGCCTCACCTAAGGTCTGTTCCTAGAGGAAATAAAAAAGACAGACAGACAGGGTGAGAAAGGAAGCAAGTGAGAGAAAGGAAGATCTAAAAAGATGGAGCCATTTAGATGGATAATAGTAAGTTTACCCAGTGTTGAAGGTTGGGATAAAATATGGGCCCTGACTCACAAAAGGTTGGAGCCTGGTGCTTTAAAATATTCAAGGAAAGAGAACTCAAAAATAAAATATAGGGCAGAAGTCTTGCTCATTAAACTTATTGGGAAATTGATTGATTTTAATGACACTTTCAGAAGTATGGCTTTTCCGTTGCTGTGTCTACATTTTCCTTCTGTTAGTAATTCATTTGTTTCAAAAATACAGATTTTCTTCTTAGTGCACCCAGAGCACTCGGAGCTCTGCTCTTATTGTAATTTCATACAGCATTGTCTGCTGGGACCCTTTCCTGCTCAAACCGCATTGGAATGTGGCCCTGATTTCAATAGGCCTTGCATACAAGTTTCCCAGTGGATTGTACTTAATATCTCCCTTGATTAAAATATTAATTCTTGCTACTCATGATTGTGATACATTTCCTTCTTGTAGATGTAAATTCTGGGTAGTGTGGAGGCTATTAATGAAGCATATGGTGCTATGGGGAAAGGGGAAAATACATTTAGCAACAAGCTGAACTTTGATTGTCATTACAGATTATATAATTAAAAAAATATTGTTGGAACAGTGCAGTGTGCTATAGCTCAGTGGTACAACATATAGTTTACACCATCCTTATAAACAGGCTGTATATTCCTGCATTGCAAGGGGCTGGACTACATGATCCTCTGGGTCCCTTCCAACTCTACAATTCTATGAGTCTGGCTGCATAGCATGTGCTCTACCGCTTGAGGCATGGCCCAGAACTATAGCTCTTTTTCCAAGGAGCTCAGGAGCACATGTATATTTAAAGAAATTGCACTTTTTTGTGCAGCATGAAAAGGGGTGACTTTTGCTAATTCTCAATTTTCCTGCTTCCTCTTGATCCAAGCCACTGCCTATTTTTATTACACTATTTTCATGTATAGGTATTTTCTGGAGAGACTGGGTGCTGTTTTGGTTTAGCCTCTTTACCATTGGCAGTTCCTATTGTTTAGTTCATTCTGGAGAGCTAGCTGCACCCCAGTGTTCATTTTAAAAGAAAAGTGAAATGGAAAATAAGGTTTCACATTCCAATCTAATAGGCATTAAATGGCAAGATTCAAGACATTCACTTTTTCACTTTAGTTGCATTGTGCTTGTTTGGAATAGGAAGATTGGGAGTAGCAGCAAACTCACTTTATGGTTCAGTCACAACATGTACTTTATATATGGGAAGTACTTATACTTACTAGATGATGGGCATGTGAAGATGGGTAAGGAAGTTGAAGTCGGTTGTCTAGCTCTGTTCAATTTCAGAGTCTGTTATTTCTTCACTTGGGGAATTTGATTCACAGAGTATGTGAATTATACTGTAATGAGGACTCATTCAAATACTGCCTCCGACCTTTCTCCTCTCCCCAAAAAACCCCAAGGCAATATGTTATTTTGCTTTTTTTGCTGTAGGTCTCAAGTAAGAATGCCTCTTTCAACCCGGTTATTCAGCTCCTCCAACATCTGGCACCATCGTCTCTGAAAATGACAGGTTTGTATTAAGAGGTCTGGATAAGTGTGAGTGCCAAGTCTGTACTTGGAAACAGCCATCTGTGTGTGCACTGCTCTTACGGATGCTGGCCAGCACAAACACAAGGGGGAAAACCCACACCCAACACCTGAAAGTGTGCATACAGTGCTGACCTGGGGGGTTGGGAGACTGACTCAAGGCAGTGTCTCCTTCCCCAACAGGTGATCACTATCTGAACTGAATATATTGCTCATCTGTTTTGTGGTGAGTGCAGGAAATCCTCACATCTTACATCTTGCAGCTTATGCACAGCTGCTTATACACAGTATGATCTCTGGATCTGGGGCTATTATGTTACATGCCTGTTTTCTTTTATACTGGCACAGGGGTTTGTGGGAGATACCCAGAAATTTTGGGTAAATAGGTTTGTCGGATCATTCCAGGTTCCAACTAACCAAGATTGGATGGCTGGGGCTTCTTATCCCGTTGTGTAAATATCTGTCTGCTGTTATGTAACATTTGCTTGGGATTTATTTTTAAGACGTTAAAAGTATTTTTCCAAGAAGTTTTTCTGTCTCTTTATTGCCCTCTTGTGTTTAACAAAGTATGCAAGATTTCTCTGTGCAATTGCTTGATGGCTTTATGATTCCCATCTTGTAATATGGAAACATTCATTGGCATATACATACATAGTTAGTTTGGGAACTTAGATGCAGATTTATTTATTTATTTATGTGCAGTTCTGTTTCTTTCATTTCTAGAAATACTGATTTAACATTTTGTATTTTGGATCTAAATGTCAAGGAACATCGTAGCCTGAGGTTACAGTTCACGTCTCGCTGAAGTTAATGGCTAAGCAGCCATTGATTTGAGTGGCATCCTAAATCACCAGACTTATATAAGCCATCTTCTTATGTAATTTTTCATTAGCTTTTGTCTTCATATGGAAAATGTTGACATCTTTCTGCAGGTTGCCTTTTTTATTCTGCTTGCATTCCAGTAATTGAGTGCACTACTGTTTCTAGCAGAGGCAGGGCTTGCTCTGGTTTCTTGCTATGTTTGTTAAGACCCGTAAGAGTACAGTAAGAGGTTATGTCCCAAAGCTCCTTGGAATAACCAGAGGGCACTGAGGCTCAATTTTGACTGCAAAAGTACAAACTGGTGTGCAGCACCAAATGTAGCAGGAACCCTTTGATGAAATCTTCTGTTCCATGGGGCTGGAGGAGTGGTTTAAGGCACATTAGTAAATAAGGTAAAGTTAAGCTTACCTGAGCAAAAAATCAAACTAGGCTTCCCTCTTTACAATTTTTTTAAAAACGGCTTGTTTGCTTTCTGTTTATTCAGAACTATCAGTGAACATGATATTTAACAAAGAACTATAAGCAATACAGGGACGTAGGTGGCACTGTGGGTTAAACCACAGAGCCTAGGACTTGCCGATAAGAAGGTTGGCGGTTCGAATCCCCGCGACGGGGTGAGCTCCCGTTGCTCAGTCCCTGCTCCTGCCAACTTAGCAGTTCAAAAGCACGTCAAAGTGCAAGTAGATAAATAGGTACCGCTCCGGCGGGAAGGTAAACGGCATTTCCGTGCGCTGCTCTGGTTCATCAGAAGCGGCTTAGTCATGCTGGCCACATGACCCAGAAGCTGTATGCCAGCTCCCTCGGCCAATAAAGTGAGATGAGCGCTGCAACCCAAGAGTGGACCTAATGGTCAGGGGTCCCTTTACCTTTATAAGCAATACATAGTTCCCTGCCCCAACAAGCTTACAATCTAAATATAGAGGTGGAGACAGCAGAAGGAAGGAAGTAGCGGTGGTGGGGGTGAAGATAAGCAATATAAACTATATTTGTGTGTGGATGCAATTGATGTATATGCATATTAATGCTGCCCAAAATCACCCTGCCTAATTAGAGATGGGCTGCCTGAATTGGGCAGGTCCTGAATTGGGATGAAACATTTTGAAATGCTTTGTGAAACAAAGTCCTTATACCCTGCTTGTATAGTGAAACATCAGTTGCAATATGTGTTTTTTTGATGTAACATGAGCATTTGAAACACAGTGATTTGCTGCTTCCACCTGTTTAAATGGCCACAGTGCTGCTAGGTTCATTTAATCATTCGTCATTTGGCTAACATAAGGATGGCTGGCCTTTCAGCAATAGGTCTCGTATATCTTTATCACAAGGAAATTTCATTGAGGGCTCCTTGCTATTTCAGAGTTCACATACCCAGGTTCCCACTCCTCACTAATGCAAAGTTTGCAGTACCTATTTTTCAGATTGAAAGTGCGCTGCAGTGCCCAATATATTTTCTCAGCATTTTGTATTTTATTATTCAGGAATTTGGGCCTCGTGACAAAGCATGGCTCTGAAGACTTGCTAGTAATATTTAGCACTTCTGCAGTACCTTTTTCATATTCTGAGTGCTTTACCATACCTCATCTCAGTAACCGTTCTGGTAGACCTGTAATGTAGATCACATTCTTATCCCCCTGTTACTGGAAGGGGGGTTGCAGTTTGCCTGAGGCTGTCTATTGCATTAACAGTCTCTTAGCCACCGGGCTAGAGTAGTCACCCCATCTCTGATCTCTCTCCTGAAATTGGAACTGGCAGGTTTCATAACAAATGCAACACTCCAGCACTGGATGGCACTGACTTTCCGTTAGGGAGTAACACTACTAGAGACAAGAGTTCTGTTGGGATCAGTTCCCGAGAGTTTTGCTGCATTGTTTTTGGAAAGATGTAATCACAGATGAGCCCTGGGTCCTGGAAATTCCTTTTTGTGCCACAACAGTTATTAATGCTACAGTAGGTAGTCACAAAAACCCTATTTAACCTAAGACTACAATCCTATACGCACAGACCCGGAAGTCCTATTGAACTCCATAAGACTTGCCTCTGTGTAGACTTGCCTTTGATTGTGCTGTTGGGCTATGATGAATAAAACACACAAAATAGCAAATGGTATGCAAACAGAAATTTACAGGTTTTGTACAGTATATCTTCTTTTATCTTGGTGGTGTTTTTTTAATGTATTGCTGAATGCTTTTTAAAGAATGTTTTATTTCCTGAGCTGCTCAGAGAATGTTGCTGTTGGCATGGGGTACTTATAAGTAATGTAAATTACTGTATTTTTTGCTCTATAAGACTCACTTTTTCCCTCCTAAAAAGTAAGGGGAAATGTGTGTGCGTCTTATGGAGCGAATGCAGGCTGCGCAGCTATCCCAGAAGCCAGAACAGCAAGAGGGATTGCTGCTTTCACTGTGCAGCGATCCCTCTTGCTGTTCTGGCTTCTGAGATTCAGAATATTTTTTTTCTTGTTTTCCTCCTCCAAAAACTAGGTGCGTCTTGTGGTCTGGTGCATCTTATAGAGCAAAAAATATGGTAATAATGATTTTACCTTCTGGGACGGGTGTCAGATGTTGATGTGACTGGGTACCTCCAGTGGGTCACAATCTAGGGGTCCAGTCATGCCATAACCTCTAAGCACTGCTGCTCACTTGTTCTTTGGATCAGAAGTGATGAGCAAGCAGGTGATGGTAGTGCGAAGATGGTCAGAAGCAGCTGACAGCCCTCCCTTCTCTCTATCTTACCTATTTGCTTTCTTCTTGGAGAGAGCAGGCAGCTGTAAGAAGAAATAGGAGGAGGAAGAAAGGCAGTGAGGGAGAGGTAGGCCAGCTGAAGGCATCTTCCCCCCCCACCCCTCCACCCTCAAACCAGGCACTGCAAACCCAGAGGATCTTTAATGTTTGCTGACAGCAATTCGGCACTCTTCCTTCTTTATTCGGCACCTAGAAGTTTAAATGTATTGTGGACAAAACAGTTTGGACCTCCCCCCTGCCCCCCACACAGTTAGTCATCTGCTTAGATTTTAAAACTCTGAGACCTAGATTAGATTTGTAGTCAAAACAAGACATAACAGCTCTGGTGGTCTTGGTGGTGGTGGTGTTTTTTAATCAGTTCTTGATTTACCTTTCACATAGGTCCAAAGGTGATTTACAACCATACCATAAAAACCATTAAAAGCAGGTGTAAAAAATACAAAAACAACAACAGCTAGATATAAGCAAGCACCCAAGACAGAAGCCTGAAAAATTGCAGTTGCAACACCATTGCTATTCTACCTGTTCTATTAGTAATGGTCCAGTGGCACAAACCTAGGCATGTTTATGCAGAAGCAAGTCTAATGGAGTTGAATGGGATTCCCAGTTACATGAGTAGCGTGATTTATAAACATACCGTAAAAAGAGTACAAAACAACTACTGAAGATAGGTGAAAAACAATACAAAATGAACATCTAAGGCAGAGACCCTTTCATTTAGCTGGGAAAAGCTTGTTGAAACAAAAATATCTTCAGGAGTTTCTGGAAAGTACATGCTGGTGACGGAGCAAACAAACTGAGGTTCATTGGGTGATGTTTCTTCGTTCAGGATCTCCCCATCCCAAGTCTGAAAACTGCTTTTAAAAATAGGTATTGTGTAAAACATGATTTCATGTGAAACGTTTCCTGAGGAAAGTGACATAATAAGGCCTAGTAGGAGTGCCAGTCTAATAACTACGCATCACTGAATCCTGACTCAACATTTCAGTTTGTTTCAGCAGAGCTGTGAAAGACAAGTCATGCCATGTTTTCCCCCCTGTGTGAACGGCTTTTCAACCACAGTGTTGTTCTTTTGCACAAACAGGAGTCTTTTGAGCATGATGCCAGTCTCTCTGGAATGACTTGGCCACCATTTTGTCAATAAATGCTGTACCAGTGATTTTTGTTGTTGTTCTCTGAGCAGTTTGTATAAAAATACATCTAGTCATACCATGAACAATTAACTAGAGTGCCTGCAGCATGGTTGCTCAATTACTGAATAAGCTTCCAAGCAAATTTTCCTGTATATTTATTATGTGTGTATCAGATTCAGCGGTGACGAGAGTCGAGCATCAGTGCCCCCTGTGACCTTCATCTTTCTGCACATGCAGCTGAGGAGAAGTAAAGCTTTTGAGTCTTGGGGCCATCTGCATCTGGTAAATGGAAGTCCAGTCATCCCAAGAACATGGGTAGGCAATGACTGACAGGCTGCCCTGGCTCAGTTATCACTGTGCTGATGCTGTCTATACAAAAGGTACAGTACTGTGATAACTGAAGGATGGCAGCCATCTTAGCGTCACAGGAACTCAGCAAGCGGTGATCAGAGAAGACTGTGTTCTGTCCTGAAAACCTGGCTGTATTTTATTGATGAAAACCAAAGCCAGCAGCACATACCAAAGCTGGAAAACACACATTCACTATTTTTGCAGCTTAACATTTCACTTCAAGATGGTACCTTCAATAAAATTTGAAAGCAAAAGTTTGCTTTTCTCATGTAACTCCTTTCTGCTGTTTAGAGGTTCTCCCATAAATTATAGACATTAGAGTAAAGAGTGACAGGTGGGTTTGGTGATCTCTCCAAAAAATGAAAATCAAACTTTGCTGCACAATCACCTTTTTAATGGAAGGACACTTTTAAAATGACACAGTTTGGAAACCTGAATCTGACAAATATCCGTCATTCATCCAAAGGTATAAGGAGCCTAGCAAAGCATAACAGCACACCCACACAATCCAGTTAAAGCACTTGGATTCCACTGTCACAGTCATGGCTTTTGTCCAACAGATACTCGGAACTGTAGTGGTTCGTCAAAGTGCTGAGAGTTGTTAGGAGACTCCAGACTCCAGTTCCCAGGATTCCTTGGCAGAAGTCATGACTGGGAAAGTGGTAACGAAGTACTTTAACTGGATTGTGTGTATGTGACACAAATCTTCCACTGTGACTTTTAAACATTTTAAATTGGCATTCAGAATTGATGGGTGAGTCCCTCTCCCAAGTTGTGGGAACAAAGACAAAAATATATGGTCATGGTGAACGTTTCACTAGAAACACAAACATAATGCTATCAGTTGCACAGTCATTGTTAGACAATTTGAGTGAGAGAGAACAAGGTAATGTTTCTAAGCAATATTTTTGGAGCTATAAATTTCCTCTGACAGGATTAAGCATGGTTAGCTATTTAGGGCCTGTATCCACTGGAGTTTACTGTATGTTTTCAGCTGTTTGCATTCCCATTTAATTTGCATAGTCCACAAGACATTGACCTCAAACAGTACCAATCTCCCATGTTTGTCCCTCTCCAGTAAATTTGAGTTTACTCTATATGGAGATAATAGGATGAGTGGGGGGGGGATTGGGCTCCAAAACTTGGTGCTTTGGAGTGGGTGGATCCATTGTCGCTTTCTCTTCCTCCCCTTTCTGGGCCCACTACTTCCTCTATGCTGTCATTTCTTTTCCAGCTGTGCTAATAACTATTTCCTGGGTCCTCCCTCTTGATCGCTCAGATTTGCACTAATCCAGATAACTGCACAAGCAAACCACATAAAAAAATTCTGCACTAGATATTTTGGGCACCAATCTGACCATGGCCTTTGACACTGTAAATCATAATGCCCATAATGCTTCTGAAAATTGGCTGCCCAGATATATTTGTGAACACCCTACGGCTCCTCTGTGATAATATCACAGCAACAATAGCAGACGACAATGGCTCTCAAAGTGAACCATTCACAGTAGGATCAGGTGTTAAACAGGGTTTTATTATCACCCTAACTCTATTATTTTAATTGCCATGATCCCACATGATCCCACCAGGGTAGAAATCACATATCGAACAGATGGAAAGCTCTTCAATCTGAGCAGGCTGAAAGCAATGAGTAAGGTTACCATAACATCCGTCATAGAGCTTCAGTATGCTGATGACAACATAGTGTGTGCACACTCAGAGAATGACCTCCAAACCATCCTAAATATCTTTGCAGAAGCTTTCAAAAAGCTTGGCCTTTCATTCAACATCCAAAAAAACAAAGTGTTGTACCAACAAGCACAAAACAACCCCTCTGCAGCACCACAAATTGAACTCAATGGTGTAATGTTGGAAAGTGTCAATCACTTCTCCTACATGGGCAGTTATCTTTCCACAAGGGCTGACATTCATGCTGAAATCTAGAATCACCTGAGCTCTATGAGTGCAGCTTTCTCCCGATTAAAGTGCAGAGTGTTTGAAGACCGGGACATTTGCAGGGAAACCAAAATGCTTGTTTATAAAGCTATTGTACGACCAAACTTACTGTATGCTTATGAAACATGGACCACTTATAAATGCCATCTTCAGCTCCTTGAAAGATTCCATCAAGGGTGTCTCCGAAACATTTTACATATCACTTGGGAAGACAGGCAAACTAATGCCATTGTACTGGAAGAAGCAAAGATCACCAGTGTCGAAGCAATGATTCTTCAACATCAACTTCATTGGACTGGTAATGTTGTTCAGATGCCTGATTATCATCTGCCAAAGCAACTACTCTATTCCGAACTTAAAAATGAAAAGTGTAATGCTGGTGGTCAACAAAAGAGGTTTAAAGACTGTCTCAAAGCAAATCTAAAAAAATGTAGTATAAACACCGACAACAGGGAAACACTGGCCTGCGAGTGCTCCAGTTGGAGAACAGCCTTTACCAAAGGTGTCATGGACTTTGAAGACACTCAAACTCAAATCAGGATGAAAGGGAGAAACGTGCTAAGAGGAAGGCATGTTTGGCAAACCCTCATCCATGATCAACTCTCACCCGGAAACCAATGTACCCACTGTGGAAGGACGTGTGGATCCAGAATTGGCCTCCACAGTCACTTACGGACTCACTGCTAAGACCGTGTTCATGGAAGACAATTTTACTCGGCTACAAATGATCGCCAAAGAAAAAGAAGAAAACTTTCTACACTAGATATATTGGGCACCATTCTGAAAAGAGTGTGCTGAGAATTTACAATTCCTTTCTTTTCCAGCATGGCAGCAAGGATGTGCCAGGTGCTTGGCCTTTTAATATACAGTACAGTACTTTATATATACTTTTCCTTTTATCCCTCACATTTCCACAGAACCAGAAAGCTGCACAAGCAAATGACAATTGCTCGACACTGTGCTTTTGCACACTTCTTAAGGGGGAATTAAAAACAAAACAAAACGTGAGCAGCTATATGTGATCATGCCCTGTCAGTACTTAACTTGCATAACAGAATCACCAAATTAGAAGGCAGGGACAAACACAAAAGAGATAACTACTGGTATAAATGGGAAAAACCAAAGTTGCTGTTCATACATGAATTTAAAAATGTGCAGGTGGGAACTATTCTGGGGATTGGGTTAACAGCTAAATAATGCTCAGGTGGGGACTTCCGGGTTGGCGCCATCGGTAATGGCTGAATTCCTCTGACTAAGAGGAATTTGCTCCGTGGAAATTGGGTCTGGCCGCCATGGCGAAGGCGGAGACCCTTCAGAAATCACAGGCGGGTGAAGCCTGTGAACGCGGGATTCGGCGGGCACCCTCAGCGCCTCCCCTACTCGCGTGGAAACCCGTTCGTTGGATCCGTAGCGAAATGGGGTGAGCAGCGCGGTGCTGTGAATCGACTGCTCTTTCCACAGAGTGAAGCCGCATAGCCGTTGCCGGAGAGCGCTGACTTTTTCCTGTGAACAATTGGATTTAAAAAGACACTACCCGTGAGTAGAACAATTGGTTTTCAAAGATATTATTTAAGAACAATCATATTGGAACTTTTTAAAGGAAGAAATTTGTAATTTGGAACTGTAGCGGGGAGGCATAAACAGGAAGTCTGCCTTCCGCTTTTGTAGACAGAACAAAGCAAAGAGGCTGCAAGCCAGAGTCTTGGAGAGCCGACTGGAAAGGATTAAAATCTCAATTTCTAAATTAGAAAACTCCCCCCTGGAAGCAGGAGAAGAGGGGGGAGAAGTTTTGGACTTTTCATACCTGCAAAAGAGAGGTAAGGAAATTAAAACTCCACTGCTCAGACCCTGGGAACGGGCTGCAAATAGACAATAAGGCTGCCGTATCTGGAATGCGCTCTGACTGTTAGCTGTCAAAAGAGAGATACATTCTGCTTAATTGTTTCTAACTGCCCTTCTGACTCTTAAGGGGGAGAAAAAGTAACGGAAAATTGAAACTAAATTTCTTTTTTGAGCTACGTTTTAAAAGGAGTTATTTTGGATAATTATAAGCACAGATTGCAACTGTTTCCCCCTAGAGGTAGTAGTGGAAACTGTTGTAAGAGCCGGACCAGGGGAATTTTCCATTAGAAAGATAAAATTGTCTGACTGTGGGATTGACCTTGGACTTTTTGAGTGTTATGGCAATTGGGAAAGAGAAAGTAGATTTATCAACAACGAGATCTGGGAAGCCTTGGCAGCGAAGAGCATCAGCATCTGGTCCTTCTGTACCATCTGCAGCTGTGCCAACTCAATCTAAACAAAGAGGAATGTCATCAGAAGAGGCTTTACCGACGTTGCTGGGTAAAATAAATGAATCTTTGGAAAAACTCTGCAGGAAAGTAGATGAGACAAATATAAAAGTTGATGCATCTAATGCGAAGGTGGATGCCGCAAATGCCAAAATTGACATTAATACAGAAAGTATAAATAGTCTGGGACAAAAGGTGAATACTAATATAGAAGCAATACAGAAATTGATACAGGAGTCTGCCTCGACCCGTCAAATTGCAGAGGAAGCAAAGGGTAAAGTGGAAGTTGTGGAAGCCAAAGTAACACAACTGGAAACAAAGAAAGTTCCAGATATTCAGAGACAGGTTGAGGATCACAGGCTGATTCTTTCTATGATTGAGCTTAAGGAAAAACAGATGAACTTGAGGATTAGAGGGGTACCCAAATTGGAGAAAAATACTTTGATAGAATTTCTTATGCAGGAATTTGCAGAGTTTTGGAAGTTGGACTTGGAACAAAAAGGAGTGAAAATCGTGAGTGCCTTCAGGCTTGGAAGAGGAGGGAAGAAGAATAGAGTAAGAGACTGTTTGATTACCCTCCGATCCAAAGAGGAGAGAGATAAAATTTTGGGCTGGCATTTTCAGAAGCCTTTGGGAATATTGCAGTCAAGAGTGGAAATATTTAAAGATATCCCGAAATATCTTTTGGACCTTAGGGCCAATTATGGAGATTTGGTTGATCTGCTGAGAAGGAACAGTATCATCTTTTGGTGGGAATTTCCTCAAGGCCTATCCTTTAGTTTTAAAGGAAGAAAAATAAAAATAAGATCAGTTGAAGATAAAGACAAATTTTTGAGCACCCACAAAGAGGATCTACAGAAGGGACTTGGAAAAGAACCAGGAGTACCGGACAGAAGATCACCAGACAGAGTACTAGAGCAAGGAGTACTGGACAAAAGATCACCTATACTGGACTTAGCAAAGTTAAATTTTGGATTGGACTACCCAGTGAAAGGGATACCAGCACTACCGTCAGAACAAGAAGAAACACTGGGCGCAGTTGGAGGTGACTTAAAATAATTACATTATGGCACTGCAAATATTAAGCTGGAATATTAATGGGATGAATTCCCCTGAGAAAAGACGAAGAGTCTTTCATGTATTAAAAAAGGAACAATTGGACTTGATTTGCTTACAAGAAACACATGTGATAAGGCTACATAGGAAATTACTGGTAAATAAAAGATTGGGACAAGAATTTATTTCATCAGACAAAGTAAAAAAAAGAGGAGTAGTACTTTATGCAAAGGAGAGCTTATCACCGAAATTTCTTTTTAAAGATGATCAAGGAAGATTTGTAGCAATTGAAATCCAATCACAAGGAGAGAAGTTTTTGATATTAGGTATTTATGCACCAAACGAGGGAAAATCGGAATTCTTTAAGAAGCTACATGAGACTTTGATGTACTATATGGATTATAATATGATCTTGATGGGGGATATGAATATTGTAGTGTCTACAAATATGGATAAAACACAGAGACAGGTAGTCACTAAGGATGGCAGATTGCCAAAGACTTTCTTTGATATGACTGACAATATGGACTTAGTTGACATTTGGAGAATTAAAAACCCTTTGGGAAGAGAGGGAACCTTCTTCTCTGAGGCCAAAATGACATGGACAAGAATTGACCAAATTTGGGTAACTAGAGGACTGGCTCCAAAAACTAGAAAGGTGGAAATATGCCCGAAAATCTGCTCCGACCATAATGCTGTAAAGATGGAATTGAAACTAACACCAACTGGTACCTTCAGATGGAGGATGAATGACATATTGTTTAGGAATAAAGAAGTGACTAAGAAGGCCCAAAAAACTCTGAGAGACTATTTTGAGATAAATATGAACACCACTGTAGAAAAAAGAGTAATCTGGGACGCAAGCAAAGCGGTTATGAGAGGGTTTTTGATACAACAGAATGCGATTCAAAAGAGAGTCCAAAATGAGAAAAAAGATAAAATATTGGAGAAAATAAAGGAAGGAGAGAAGAAACTGAGAGTGAAACCAAAGTCGCAGGAGATTTTGAAAGAGATAAAGTTATACCAAGTACAATATATGAAAATGATGAACCAGGAAATAGAATGGAAAATTAAACAGATGAGACAAAAGACATTTGAATCGGCAAATAAATGTGGAAAACTGCTGGCTTGGCAAATGAAAAAAAGACAAAAACTTAACACTATCACAAATTTGGAAGTAGAAGGGAAAAATATACAGAATCCAGTGGAGATTAGAAAGTGTTTTCAGAGGTATTTTAAACAACTATATACACAGGAAATTCAGAAACAAATGGACATTGATTCTTTTTTGAAAACAAATGGATTACAAAAAATCTCTCAAGAAAATAAGCTAATGTTGAACTACAAAATAACAGAGCAAGAGATAGAAGGGGCCATCCAGAATATGCAATTGGGTAAATCTCCAGGTCCGGATGGACTGACTTCAAGATACTATAGATCCCTGAAAGAATGGATAATACAGCCATTAAAAGAAGTTTGTAATGGAATATTGGAAGGGAAAAGGGCGCCAGAGTCGTGGAAGGAAGCTTACATTACACTTATACCGAAAGTAGAGTCTGAGAAGACACAGCTTAAGAATTACCGCCCCATATCTTTGCTTAATGTGGATTACAAAATTTTTGCAGATATTTTGGCTAAAAGATTAAAAAAGGTACTAGTAGAAGAAATCCATAAAGACCAAGCCGGTTTTCTCCCGGGTAGACATTTGTCTGACAACACGAGGAATATAATTAACATTCTAGAAAAGTTACAAGTAAATATTAATACTAAAGCAGTTTTGATATTTGTGGACACGGAGAAAGCCTTTGACAATATTTCTTGGAGTTTTATGAAGAAAAATCTACAGGGGATGGGGGTTGGTCAAGGTTTTGAAAATGGTATAGGTGCAATTTATTCAGAACAAAAGGCTAAATTAATTGTGAACAGTGTAGTGACGGAAGTATTTAAGATAGAGAAAGGAACACAACAAGGTTGCCCAATCTCTCCATTGCTTTTTATATCGGTCCTGGAAGTTCTTGTAAACATGATTAGGAGGGACCAAACAGTTAAAGGTATACAAGTTGGAGCTAAACAGTACAAAATGAAAGCATTTGCTGATGATCTGGTATTGACATTACAGGAGCCAGAATCTAGTACCAAAAGAGTATTGGAACTGATCCAAGAATTTGGACAAGTAGCGGGATTTAAGTTGAATAAGATGAAAACTAAAGTTTTAGAGAAAAATTTAACAGTGACGGAGAAAGGTTTCAGAAGGAGACAGGATTAACATTGGTTAAGAAAGTGAAATACCTAGGGGTTAACATGACTGCTAAGAATGTGAATCTGTTTAAGGATAACTATGACGGAAGTGAAAAAGGATCTAGAAATATGGTCAAATCTGAAGTTATCATTGCTAGACCGAATTGCTGCGATAAAGATGAATGTAATGCCAAGGATGTTGTTTTTGTTTCAAACATTGCAAATATTAGATAAAATGGAGTGTTTCAAGAGGTGGGAGAGAGATATCTCTCGATTTGTCTGGCAGGGCAAGAAACCTCGAATAAAATTTAAGATATTAACTGACGCTAAGGAAAGAGGTGGATTTGCCCTGCCAGACTTAAAACTTTATTATGAATCAGCCGCTTTTTGCTGGCTGAGAGAATGGATGCTTCTTGAGAACACTGATGTGTTGGACTTAGAAGGCTTTAATAATGTTTTTGGGTGGCATGCATATCTGTGGTATGATAAGGTCAAAGCACATAAAGCGTTTAAAAACCATATTGTCAGAAAAGCACTGTTTAATGTTTGGATAAGATATAAGGATTTGCTTGAGAATAAAACCCCAAGGTGGCTGTCACCAATGGAAGCGAAGGCTCAGAAAAAGCTCAATATGGAGGCTAATTGGCCGAAATATTGGGAAATTTTGGAACAAGAGGGAGACAGATTAAAACTGCAGAGTTTTGAAAAATTAAAAAATAAAGTGCGAGATTGGCTTCATTATTATCAGATAATGGAGGCATATAATTTGGATAAAAAAAATTGGCTTCCAGGTGGAAAAATCAAAATTGGAAACAGAACTGTTAGACTCCAAAACTAATAATTTGTCAAGAATGTATAATTTGCTGTTGAAATGGAATACTCAGGATGAAACGGTGAAATCTGTTATGATTAAATGGGCACAAGATGTTGGACATAACATTATGATGGCTGACTGGGAACAGTTATGGACCACAGGTATGAAGTTCATGGCATGTAATGCCTTAAGAGAGAATATAATGAAAATGATATACAGGTGGTACATGACACCAGTCAAGCTTGCGAAAATTTATCACTTGCCCGATAATAAATGCTGGAAATGTAAAGAGACGGAAGGTACATTCTTTCACCTTTGGTGGACATGCCCAAGGATTAAGGCTTTCTGGGAGATGATCTATAACGAAATGAAAAAGGTATTTAAATATACCTTTTTTAAGAAACCAGAGGCCTTTCTCCTGGGCATGGTCGGCCAATTGGTGCCAAAGAAGGACAGAACTTTCTTTATGTATGCCACAACAGCAGCAATAATACTTATTGCAAAGTATTGGAAGACACAAGATCTACCCACTCTGGAAGAATGGCAGATGAAGGTGACAGACTATATGGAACTGGCAGAAATGACTGGCAGAATCCGAGACCAGGGAGAAGAGTCGGTGGAGGAAGATTGGAAGAAATTTAAAGACTATTTACAGAAACATTGTAAAATTAATGAATGTTAGAATGATGTTGGAATGAATCTATGTGATTTTAGCAAAAATGTATCAAAGATTTAAGAAAAATAGACTGTTAATTGGTGAAAAGAGGGAAAGTAAACTTATATTAAGATCAAGATAAGTTTTCAGGATAAAAATTTTGAAGAGAGGGAAAGGATTTGCTGAAATGGATAATTGACTTAGAATACAAAAAAGGGAGGTGTGAGGAGGTCAGGGAAACAAGCAAATGAAAGATAAGTTATGGGAAGGCTCGATTTGTTTTTTTATTTGTTTTTAATTGTTTCTATTTTTCTGTTTTTTTATTGTGATGTGTTGTTTTGCTATTGTTTAATTTGGTGTTTTTTCCTTTTGCCTTTTTGTAAACTTAAAACCTTAATAAATACTATTTAAAAAAAATATAATAATGCTCAGGTGGGACAAGCGCCCTGTCAAAATCAACATTAACTATGTGCAGGACTAACCTAGGTTCTACTTAACACAAGACCTGAAACCAGCTAGCTTCAGATCCTAGATTAATCAGACAACCTCAGTTTCTTCAGTAACTCTAATTCCCCTTGCTGCCAATTTAGTTGTTAGTCATAGTTAAGCCTGGTGGAGGAATCTCTGCTTCATAATAGAGGGGAAGGAGAGTCTGATCGCATGGCCTGTTCCTGATTGGGTATTTATTTTAAGCAATTCTACATTATTCAGCCTCAAATCCCAGAATGGCTCACATATATAAAATCAATAAGCAAAAAAACCCAAGATGGATCCTAGCTGCAGGCTTTTCATCTGAAAGACAACACAATAGGAAAAAGATGGGGACAGGAGATTTTAAAAAACCAAGCACCCAGGCACTGCTAGTTCTTGAAGCTACAAATTTGTTATCATGACCAGATTGAAAGGGAATTGCTACTAGCTTGCAAATGCAACACAGAGCCAAAGACCAATATTATATAATTTGGCTACTACCTTCACATTCTGACCCCTTACAGAGCCACTCCATGCTAATCAAGAGCAATCCGGCTTCACATCATTTTACACCCCCCTACTTGAGTGTTGAAAATGGGTGTAGGGAAGAAGATAGAATTTGTCTTCATAATGTTAATAATGGTCAGAAATGTTGATAGTTACCACATTAACAGTACTGGGCACTGAGAACCAGTGCACAGATGTGAGTCACACTGCCAAATTATTTGAGCTGTGTAAACTGGGGAGCTTAGCTTGATAGACGATTTCTGATGGGTGACTTCAGTGATTGCCCAGTTGGGGGAATGGAACAGCCACCAAAGCAAGAAGTGTGACTGAGCTGGGCTGCTGCTTCTCTGTGAAAACAAAACATGCACACCTTGACTTTGGGGGTGTACGTATGTGTTCTGTCCTTCAAGAGATTGGGCGGGAGGGCAGTTATAGTTGGTGCATCTTCCATGGTGCATAAAAAGCATAAAAACCAAAGTAGTGCTTGATCACATTTCCATCAGCATTTGTTACAACATCAGAAACTGCTCTCAAACTTGTATCAGGCTTTGTAAAACAGAAGCAATGCTGGAAGCAGCCCTTGAAAGTCTTGCATTGTTGCTGTCTAATGCTGCAAAATTAAGAACCGGACGCTAGAGGGTGCCAGAGTGTCTTGATTTTTAGGTTTGCTGAAATTTTAAAACCTAGGTTTTATGTACAGGGAGGAATCTAAAGAATGCTTAACCACTTCAGCTTGGCTCCAGTGTTATGAAGTTATTGGTTTCAGTAGGAATGGCGAACTCCAGATGTTGTTGAACTTCAGCTTCCATCTCCCCTGACTGTTGGCCCTGTTGACTGGCATTGATGGCAACTGGATTCCCGTAAGTGCTGGGGGACCCCAGGTTCGCAGTCCCTGGGCCACAGTCTTTGTACTATGCAAAACTGAGGATTTAAAAACAGAAATTAAAGCATAACCATTTTGTGCACATTTATAGTTTACTTCTTGTTCTTCACCAAACTATAGTGAAATAGAAGCCCTTTTGCCTATCTGCCAGGCTTACAAAGCTTTTTCCTTATTGTATACAGTGGTACCTCAGGTTACATACGCTTCAGGTTACATACGCTACAGGTTACAGACTCCACTAATCCAGAAATAGTGCTTCAGGTTAAGAACTTTGCTTCAGGATGAGAACAGAAATCGTGCTCCAGCGGCGCGGCAGCAACAGGAGGCCCCATTAGCTAAAGTGGTGCTTCAGGTTAGGAACAGTTTCAGGTTAAGAACAGACCTCTGGAATGAATTAAGTACTTAACCCGAGGTACCACTGTACCTTGAACTGCCAGCCTCCTAGCTATCTACCAGTTTATGTACATTCTCCCTTGTCAATCACATGTCCCCCCCCCCTCAGGTTACAGGCTCAAGGAAGTCTGAGTCTTTTAACTTCAGAAGAGACATGTCATCTCTTACATGTGCAATGGAGTTTTAACTACAGTGGAACCTCGGGTTATGTACTGTCCTCCTTACGAATGCTTCGGGTTATGAGCTCCGCTAACCCAGAAGTAGGTGTCCCGGGTAGCGAACTTTGCCCCGGGATGCAAGTGGAAGTCGCACGGCGGCAGCGGGAGGCCCCATTAGCGAAAGCACGCCTCAGGTTAAGAACAGTTTCAGGCTAAGAACGGACCTCCAGAACTAATTAAGTCCGTAAACGGAGGTACCACTGTACGTACCTTGATACTTGAGTCTCAGAGTATTTGCTAGGTTTCTAAATTAACATTATACTCCCCAATGGATAATCAAGAATGATATGTTTACAAACAGGCGAAATATCCATGCCTCTATGATATGCAACAATCCATACAAGTAGCCGAAGGAAACAAAGTCCAATCCCCCCCCCTTCCCCTCGCCCTCCTCACAGGCCTTTTAAAGATGTGTCCTGTTTTTCTTTCTCATTGGAAACGTTTGTGATTGTGCCTTACATCTTGAGTTTCTTTCTCCATTAGTATATCTAGCCATGGAATCTCACCTAGTATCTGAGCTTTTTAAAACTAGTCTTCCTGAAATCCACTATACATCTTTGCCTATACAGTACTAACTTTTAGCTTTCCATAACTATAAGAATTCCAGTGTTGAATGGTCACTCTCCCCCACCCAGGTTCTTCCTGATTTAACCTCACTGACCAAACTACTGGTTACGATCAAATGGAGGGCAGCTAATCTCCTTAGTCCTTCCTCCAGCTTCTGCAAGAGGATGTTGTTCTGCAGTGCATGCCAGGAATGTTCTTCGATATTCCATGCTTAGCGTTTGTCTAACAAGCAAACATCAGGGCAGTTGAATTTCTCTGTGACTTCTAATTCTTGCTTCTCTGAAACATGTGTTGCAGGAAGACACGATCCACATCCTCTCTTTGGTGTGGTGGCCTATAGTAGTAGACGCTGACCACAATGTTGTTTGACTTTTTTGTTGAGGGGTTGCTCTATTTAGCCTTGCACAGATGCTCTCCACAGGCTAAATAGGTGTTCAGTCTCTTCAGATTTCTGTGCAGGTGAACAAGACTATTTTATGTTGCACGGAGCCAGTAGCTCCCAGCAACTGAAACGACTATTCAAAAAACAATTAAAATCAGCAATAAGCTATTAAAAAAACACACCAACCAGATTAAAACATGTCTTCATAGGCTTGCCTAAACAAAAAATGTTTTTAGCAAAAACATTATTAAAGCCAAACCAGCATTTAAGATCTGGACATCATTCCAAAGTGCAGTCAGATGTTGCTTTGGGTGAATTTGTTTGTTGGTTTCTGTTGTATCCCATGCATCACAAACATGATGGACTCAGCCAAGTCTTGATCTTGGCTGAAGTTGCACACATCTGGTACTTGTTATATCAAAGGGGAAATACAGAAGATATGAATGTGTTTTGAGTGGGGTAAACAGTTTCTGGATTCAAAATACTGTGAACACCCAACATTACAAACCTTATTCTAAACAGAAACACAAAGCAAACCTCAAAGTCCAAAACACTCCTCTCCAGCATCTTTTATTATGCACAGTAATGAAAAGAACAAGAATCAATTTACGATTGCTGTTTATGCAGCCATACAGAGATACCATTGCATGTTTTGTCTACTTTCTTTTTTAGAAGCTGAGCACTTCCTTCCTGCTCATATCCTGTGAAGCAAATAACCCCATAAGAGTTAGCTTTTTTCCATGCTGAATTAAGACTTTTATGTGCCACAAAATAAGTTCTGAATTATCCCTCCACCCCAATACGATTGAAATGAGATATTTGCCTTCTTTTTGCTAGGATAAGTTCTGAATGATCGCTGACCCCCATCCCAATATGATTGGAACGAGAGGTTTGCCTCCTTTTTTCTAGGAGGGATCCTGTGTTTTCAATAGCTTCACAACATACAGAAACCTCTTTCTTCTCTGGTTGTGTTTAAGCGCATGTTGAAAAGTTTGATTGCTGTGGATATTTTTTAAAAAAAACCAGGCCCTTTAAGTAATGCTTTGTGCGCTGCTCTAGGTTTGCATTTTTAGTTGATTTTGTATAGTGAGGTCAACTCTTGAGGTATGGGTAATTTTCTACTAGGGCTTATTGTTTCTTGCTTTTTCAAACATTAATCCTGCTCCTAGTGGTCCAGCAATAAAGCTGCTAGCACATTCACAAATCTAAGCAGGGTCCAGTATGGTTTCAGATTGGATGGGGGACGGCATGTTGAGATCCCTGCATTGCAGGGGGTTGGACTAGATGACCCTCACCAGGTCTTCCGATTTTCCTAGTTTCTTATTCCTTGCACCCAAAGGGCAGTTTGTCTTGTAAAATCACATGCCTCAATAAAGCATAATCTATTTGCTAGAGAATAAGGCTGCCTCTTTTTTTCCACCAGTCTCTGCTTCTCTCCCTTTTAACTGTAGCTTGATCTTCAGACAGGAGCAAGTGATAATGCTTATCTCCATGTTGCAAAATTTTCACCCACTGATCTCTCTGAAGATCCAGCTGCTCTTAAATTCTTTCTTTCTTTCTTTCTTTCTTTCTTTCTTTCTTTCTTTCTTTCTTTGCTTTTCTTTCTTTTTCCTGCTTAGCAGTCCTGTAACAGGGCCACAGGGCTGCGTTTGTTCAAGCCTTGTCACCTTTTTTAGTTAGTTTGTAGAGAGAGTGTTCATGTTTCCCAAGGAGACCCTTCTTATAGGACTTGCTGTGTGCTACATTTGGGCCTGCATCACTGTGCTCACACGTCTCTTTACATTAAGGCATGTTTGCTTTGAACCCAGTGTTTGGTTGGGACTTGTCAGTACCACTAAGGAAGTCTGTCAGTTACAATGCAGCCCACTTAGAGCATTTCTAGAAGGACAAAGGAAGGTCGGGTGGTTTCCAGTTGTCTTCTTCCCAGCGACCCTCTTGCTTCGCATCGAAGCTCAGTATTGACTGCCTTAATTAACTTTATAAGTTGACAGGAGATGCTAAATAATTCAAAAATGGGCAGGGGGTGGAGGTGTTCAAAGATTTACAGCAGAGCGATGTTCTTTTAGCTTTTAAAAATGCACAAAACGTCTGTGCAGAACAAACTGTGTTTCCCATGTAATAATAATAATAATAATAATAATAGAAAATTCAATAGGAATTTGAATGAGTCAGGGACAGAGCCTCCTTAGATAGATTTTATAGGAACTGTGTTAACTTCATTGGGCTGTGCCTCCCTGCATTTCTGCCACAGGCCATTGCCTGTTTACAAGTCGTATAACTTGCCTGGGCCAGAGTAATCTGAAGTACTATGGCGCTTCTGGTATTGACACCTGCCAAAATGTTTACAATGCAGTGGCGTAGCGTGGGAGTGCAGGGGGGGCCGGCCGCACCGGGCGCAACATGGGGGGGCGCGCTCGCACTCGCAGCTCTCTGCCCCTACTAAAATCCACGGGTTAGGGGGCGCAAATTACTTGCCTTGCCCCGGGTGCTGACAACCCACGCTACGCCACTGTTACAATGCAGCCATGTAGCACCTTCCTTAGGGAGCTCCGATGAGCTGATTGACACTTCAGAACGATGCAGCTCCCAGTGCTCAGATAACAGCCTGCAGTGATGCCCTGGCCTTCCCAGTGACAGGAAAGGAGTATAATAGGTCCTCATGGCACAGTACAAAATGAAATCAGTTTGGCATTCAGAGAAGAAGAAAGTTCAAGTAAAGCAAACTTAGAGATGAGGTAAAGCCGAGTGCACATTGGGTGGAGTTTTATAATTCACAACATAACACAAAATATAAGTAGATAATTAAAAAAATAATAATTCTGCATTTGCATAGAAAATGTGCTGTGGACAAGCATCAGTTAGTTATCCCACTGTTGTTGTTTTTTTGCATTCACTATCTAGAAAACCTGAATGTGGGATCATATTTGCTTCTAACTGAGCAATTAAACAGTATATTGCTTGTGTGGTTTGTTTGTTGTTTTCATTTTCTCTCTCCCTTAATAAGAGGACTAGACTTTTAAAATGAAGAGGCTAAGAGTTCAGGGAAGAAACCTGAAAGATCATCAACATCATGGGTTTCCCTAGCCTTTTGCCCCTCTCTGGCATTAACTCTGCTACTATACATGCCCTGTCTTATGCCAGCAGATCTGAGTCCAGTTTTTATAGGAAAAACTTCAATCCCAGCAACCAAGGTCTGTTAAGTTCTTTGCTTTTAGTTCTTGGCATGGCTGACTACCATTAGTGGGATTTTTTTCTTTTCTTTTCCTGGCAATCAGTAAAGAATCTTGTTTGAAACAGCCAAGTATTGCAATAGTAAACATACTCAAATCAGCAAACTAGTATTTCCCAAAGGAACATTACTCTCTCTAAATGGAGCAGAGCAGAGACAGTTGCAAGCTAACCTGTGCATGGGGGAAAAAGTGGATTCAGGAAAACATGGCATAACAAAAGTAGGATGCTGCTAATTAGACTGATTAATTAGACTGATCAGGGTGTGCAACCTAGAGAAAATATCACATATTGAGTACAGCATAGCATTTCCTATACAAAACTGAAGTTCACTCTGTCAGAACATACACCATACCTTCCTGGGTACCACAACATGGTCCTAGCATGTTCTGAATTAAAAGCATTTCCAACATTGCAATTACCACATGATTGGCACAGGAAGAGCTTTTGTGTATCAATGGCCACATGCAATATATTCTACATGTTCTCACAGCTGCAGCTGTAAGCAGAGGCTGTGCAGAACAAAATCCTGGTGCTTCTACGTACGTGTCAGTCATGATGTAAGAAAA